GCTGCTGGACTCCAGCAAGGTCTTGGCCTGACCTGGGCTCAGAGCAGCCCCACAGTACAAGGTCTAGGTTCCATGCCAAACTGGAACAAAGCACCTCCTGAGGAGTCCCTGCATCCCAGAATACCCAGCTCTGCTGAAAGAGAAAACAGCTTTCCTTTCCCCACTCTGATTCTGCTCTCATTCTGAGGACCTAATGAGTTAGTGTCCTCTGAAGCTGCAGAGAAGAGACAGATGTTGTCTCTTTGCTCTGTCATTTTCCTAGAAGCTTCTCAGTCACTGGCTCAGCAAATAGCCAGAACAAAAAGCTAGAAATACAATGAGCTCAGTGTCTCCTCTCTTTCTGTCTGGCTCCAACAACATAGATGCATGTGGGGCCAAACTCATTGATTGCCTTGATGTACAACTTTGGCTCCAGCCCGTCCTAGGTAACTGAGGCCATTGTTCTAGATTCCTTCATTCCCACTTTAGTTTTGTATTCAAGCTCAGTGTTTTGAGAGAAAGCTGTCCTGCGTACTACAGTAGTGGCACAGACAAGGAAGAGAGGGGAACACATGCTAGGCTAGGACATGGTATCATGTGATGGTGAGGGCTGCTTCCCTACGTCCCTTTGAGGTTAGAGTCACAGCCAAGTCTTCTGCACAAGGCATCCTTTGAGGAACTGAGGAGGGCACTGCATGGGAACTTAGACTGTGGATCCATGTTATCAGTGCTGGAAGACAGCTTCTGATCCAGGAGGCGGGTCACAACCCATCTGACATTGGCTTTGCAGGACATGATGAATACCCTGTATCCATCCAGATACTCTGAAAAACATGCAAAGATTTTATCAGTGGAAATACCTGAATGGAAGAAATAGAAAAAGAGGCAGAAATGGTTGAGAGAGCCAACACCAAATCTAAGTTTGTCCCTGATTGGCAGATAGAGAGAAACAACCACAGAGGTGAAAGGGCACTCCTAGAAGCCGGGTGCAACAGACACGCACTCCTGCTCCCAGGGAACACCTGGATCAGGCTGGAGACCAGTGCCCAAGATCCAGGGATCACAGGACTCCAACCCAGCCCAGGTTAAAAGAGAAGGAATGGATGGGGGGCCTGTAGCATTTCATCTGTCTCAGTTACTCTTCTCTCGTTGCTGAGACAAATATCTGACACTCAAAATGAAGGAAGGAAAGGTTTATTTAGCTCACAGTTAGTGGAGGATTTAATCCATACTCAGCTGGTTCCAAGGCAGAGTGGAGCACGGCAGCACAGAGTGGCCATTCTCAGTGGCAGCAAAGAGCAAGAGCAAAGGGAGTAGCAGCAGCTCAGGGGCTAGCTAACCTTTCTACCCTCCTTACATTGTAATGTAGAGTATCTGCCTCAAGGCACTCACACCCACAATCCCAGCATTGGATCAAGAATCACGTATGAACTGCCCAAGCCACCCCATGACTGCACGAGGTTTTTGTTTTTTGTTTTTTGGGGTTTTTTTGGGGGGGACACCACATCACAAACCATAAGATCATCTTAACCTCAAATTTAGTTCAGTAGTAAAAATTCAACCAATGCAAATTCTCAGTTCTTCCCTTAAGGTCATTCCCGATTTTTAGCCCTAAATAACACCTAGAGAAATTCTTATCAGAATTTAATGGGGCTGAGTTCCCGGTAGGAGCATACCATTTTAAGATTCAAGAGCCTATCTTTTTTTTTTTTTTTTTTTTTAAAGAAAAAGAAAAGACAAAAGAAAGAAGAAAGAAA